CGGTCTTATTTTTGCAAATGAAATAAATTTGTAATTGTCGTCGCATTTTTTTGAAAAACCATTTCTTCTATAGCAGATTCACATTTGATTCTCCAAACATCTACAACTACCCCAAATAGATCCTTAATTTTCCACTTCATAGAAATGAGTAGAGGTTGAAAATTCATATAATGCATGTAGTTGGGTGAAAGGGAATGATGATAATGATAGATTAATAATTGAAGTCATTGGGATAAGGTAAATAATATTGATTTATTTGTGTGGAAGTAATTTTCATATTATGGGTTTATTTGGCGCGACAGGACGACTGTGGTGTGGTTTCAAATTGCAAATTCGTTTGTTTCGAAAAGGTGGCGCGACAGCGTCTTTGACGATGTGCTTGTAGATGCAGGCCACGAATTAGTACCCCATGCTATATGTGTTTTTTATGTTATTTTTCTCCGCCTTGCCACCGCGCCTCTGCCCAGCTCGTTCGCATATCTTCCTTAGCTGCTTCGCTTCTTTACCTCTCTCGAGTCTCTGTTGCTACTTTCGCATCTCTGCTCTAAGGCCATCTCCTTTCTCCCATTCGTGATGTGAGAGGTGTTCTTTTATCGCTCTTCCATAGTATCTTCGATCATTTATCTTTGCAGTTTGAGGTTGATTTGGAATGTATTGCTTTCTTTATGCAATTTGTGGTTTTGCTCTATCGTGAAATCAATATTCTACTAGAGTGAAAATGAGATTTTGGATTTTGGTTTTCTCTGCCATTTTATTTGTTGTTTGTGCTCTTTGCTCTACTTGCTTTGTGGTTTTAGGATTTTTTTTTGTGACTTGCTTTTTTCAATTTGTGGCCTCTAGAATAAATGAATTTGAGATTTGTGGGCTCTGGAATGGCTGAAATTGGATTTTGTGGCCTCTGGAATGAATGAACTTGGAATGTGTTTATCTTTGTGGATTCTGGAGGGTGCGATGCCATTTCTGATTTATGGCAGTTGAATATGCTCCATTTCTTATTTTGGTTGGTCTTGGTGGGTTGCCCTCTTTCTCGGATGATATGTTTTGATGCAAAACCAAAAGAAAAAAAAAGGATGGTTTTTAGCTTTGAGAAATTGATGGAGTGGAGGTAGTGAATTGGGCTTGGGGTTATGAGATTTTGTTCAATAGTGTTTTGTGGATGTTTTTGGAAGAAATGGGATAACATTTTACCGAGTGGAATGTGGGTGTGGATGTAATTGAGTGCTCTCAAGTTTGAGGTCTATGAAGGCCTTGGAATGCTATGGAGGTGACGAGAATGTGTTAGAATGCTTCAAAGATTCCCAGAGAAGTTTTGTGTGGTAGTGTGTACACAGGATTGGTGATGGTGGTGTGGTTATGGTGTGGTGGTGGTGGTTTGTTGGTGCGGTAGATGGGAGTGGTGGCATGTTTGTTTGGAGGTGGTGGTTTGTTTGTGTTGATGATATGGTGGTGGCGTGTGTACATGTAAGTGGTGTGGTGGTGGTATGTTGATGGTGTGGTGGTGGTGGTATGTTGATTGTGATTGTGTGGTGGTGGTGGTGTTTTTGTGTTGATGATATGGTGGTGGTGTGTGTACATTGGAGTGGTGATGGTTGTATGTTGATGGTGTGGTCTTAGTGTAGTGTTGGTGGTGTGTTGGGTTGGAGGTGGTGGCGTGTTGGGTTGATGATATGGTGGTGGTGTGTCGATTTGATGATATGTTGGTGGTGTGTCGATTTGATGATATGGTGGTGGCGTTGTGCTGGATTGGACGTGGTGGTGTGTTTGGGTTGGAGGTGGTGTGTTTGTGTTGATGATGGTGGTGTGTGTTGGTGAAGTGTTAATAGATTTCAAATGTTTCTTTTATGTTACATTTTCGAGTCTTGAAATTTTAAATCAGACTTTATGTTTTTATGAGATAACTTTATATTATGTGCCACACATTTATGTTGTTTGATTCTTTTTATTTTAATAGTCATCATGGTAAAGACAAAAGAAATCCCTTTGTCGATCATGTAGGATAAAAATGCAACAACAACAACAACAAGCCTTTATCCCACTAAGTGCTAAGTGGGGTCGGCTACAAAGTGGGGTCGGCTACATGAATCCTTTTTCTCATTTGCGTTCTATTGAGTGTCATATTTTCATTCAATTCTAAATTAAGTTCATTTTTTATACAATTTTCCCAAGTATTTCTATGTCTACCTCTGTCTTTCTTAACATAAGTCGAATTTAAAACATCTACTCTCCTAACCAAATCATCAGATGGTTGATGTTTAATGTAATCATACCATCTAAGGCGACTCTCTCTAATTTTGTCCGCCACTGGAGCTACAACAAACGTATCACAAATATATTCATTTCGCATTTGGTCTCTAAGTGTAAAGTCACTCATCCACCTAAGTATTCTCATCCCGACAACACTTAACCTAGTTTTATGCTTCTCTTTTAAAGGCCAACATTCAGTGTGATAGAGCGTTGCAGGTCTCACCACCATCTTATAAAACTTTCTTTTCAGTCTAAACAGTACTTTTCTATCACACAATAATCCGGAATCATTCCTCCACTTCAGCCAACCAACTTGATTTCCACTAATAACATCCCCATTTATATCACCATCACTTTGAACAATATGCCCATATTTTTTCTTGAATAATATGTTAGCAATAACAAAATCATATGCTAAAGCAAAATCAACTATGAATCTACCTTCTTCATTAATCTGTCCAAAACTGTAGTTACTATGAATATTTTTAAAATCTTCTACCACTGTACCGACATGCCCATTTATATCTCCTATAAAAATTCTTTCTTCGAGAGATATCATCTATATTAATTTTTCTAAGTTATTTCAAAATTTTTCTTTAGAATCTATATCTAAACCTATTTGAGGAGCATAAATACTTAAAATATTAAAAATTTTAGTATTGACAACAATCTTAAGGGCTATAATTTTATCTAATTTTATTAATTTTTGTAAGATTATCTTGTAAACGCTTATCTATAATTGCACCTACTCCATTTCTAGTGTGAATCCTCCCTCAATACCAAAGTTTAAAACCTAGGATATCATTCTCCATAGTCTTTTCTCCAACCCATTTAGTTTCTTGAATACATAAAATATTTATCTTTCTATGAGTCATAATATCAATTAGTTTCATTAATTTATGGGTGACAATATCTATATTCCAAGATCTTATTCTTATATTAGTTTCATGGACTAAATTTTTTAACTGTATCCGTCTGCAATGTGGGAATTCTTGCTTATTTGACACTCCTGGGCACCGGTATATCGACCATTGCACACTTTTCACTGCATTGAGAGTATACAACGCGTTGCTTCCAGAGATAGTTTAACATTTATACAATGATCAAAACGATTCATGACATGATTTTTCAATAAATTTTACGCTTGTTGGCAACTGCATAACACACCCTTCACTTTCACATCCGGGACTTGGGATCCAATAATGACAGTGTTTTATGGACTAGTTTCTTTTTTTTGCGTCATGAAGGATAAAGATGTGAAGCTAATATTTTGCGATCTTTATCTTAAAGATATGAAATTGGGAAACAAGCCAACCACCTACTTTAACAAGTAAGACTGACTAATTATAATTAAAAATTTTGAGGAATGCACAAGAAGAGAATATGATAGAATACAATTAAAAAATCAGTGGAATCAGTTGAAAAAGGGACTGAAAAATATGGAAAGAGTTAAAACGGAGATCCATAAGCTTGAGTTGGGATCTAGTAAATCCAACCATCGATGCGTCAGAAGAATGTTGGGCCAAGAGATTGTAGGTGATAATTTAGGAAACGTTCAGTTCTTAATATTTTTTTCAATTACATCAATATGTCATCCGTTAATTTGTAGGTCATGCCAAATGCCAAAAAATTTAAATTAAGCAGCATTGAACCCAAGCTTGAAGTAAAGTTGAATTGTATGTTTGGTGAAGTCGTGGTCACAAGTGATCTTGTATGAGCCCCAAGCGAGAGAGAGTTTGTTGGCATGGTTGAGCATGTAGATGCCGAGCAAATTGCTAACTCTAATGAAGACCCCACATCTAATCTTAATGAAGTTGAATCTACTAGTCGATCCAAGCGTCTTATTGTTGAGAAAAAGAAAAAAGATGGTGCAATTTTCATAAGAAACTAAATTTCATAGTTGGTTGCTTCATGCGCTAATGACCCCAGTACATCACAAGCAAATTCTATTTAGCAAGTGATGCGAATTTAGAAAGCAACTTCAGAAATTTACGACTTGTCATTTTACTTGTTCTCTATGAAGTTACTTGACAGTAATCTCGAGATGTGGAGAGTTTCATTGGAGGAGGGATTTTCTCGTCACATTAATTGCCTGAATTTTAAAAACCAATATTATGATCTTATTAATTGTTGTTTTAATAACTTTATTTAAAATTTTGATTGTTGTGTTACTATTTGGTGATGTCTAAGTTTCTATTATATAATATTCAAACTGGATATCTGTTTTCATGTATGAAGTGAGCAATCAAGATTGGTTCTGTTATAAACAACCCAATATTATAAGACAAAATATCATTTATTCATAAACAGCTGCAGCACAACTGCTGCAAAACTGTACAAAACAAACAAACACAGTTTCTCGATAATAATTTCTGTGTAGCAGCTTCCTGACACAATGGCTGTGTAATAACTTTTTAATAAGCTGTAGCTGCCTCAAACAGACCCTATATCTGAAAGAGTTAAAAGCATTCCATTCTTGCTACTTGTGTAGCATTGCCTATGTATATCCAAGCCCCTGATTCTTTAGAAAACCTCATTTCTTACATACTATGCTCGTTGATTGGATTTCGTTGACATACCATAATTAGCTGATTACTTTCTTTGTTTTTTGCCATCCGAAGCAGTTCATGATTATTTATTGCACCTATCTTCAAAGTGTTACTTTTTATCTTTTACTTTCTTGTTAGAGTGCTCTGTCAAACTTTACATTCTCTTGGATTTTGTTTTTTCTGTTGAATGCCATTTTCTAAATGCAGGCTGATTTTAGAGCACTGGTTGGTATGGGTTATCAAACCTTACAGAGTCTCTTGCTCGACTTTTGCAAGTGGCAACCAAGTGAACGACTTCTGAATGCTCTTCTTGATATGCTTGTTGATGGAAAATTTGACATGCAGGAAAATGCAGTCATAAAGGTGTTTGTCTTTTTGATGCTTGACAAGATCGCTCTGCTTATAAAATATAGAGAGGAGTAGATTTGTTACCTCTAACATGTTTTCTTTTTGAACATTCTATTTTTTTTTTTTTTACAGAATGATGATGTGATTCTGCTTTTCTTTAATGTCCTACAAAAGGTTTGTATGTCCTATTTTATGTTGTATTTCTTTCTTGAGTTTTTTTGTTTCTAACTATTGATATGTTCTCGGTGGCAGAGCAGCATTTCACTGCAGCATTTTGGACTAGATGTCTTCCAGAATTTGTTGAACGATTCAATCACCAACCAAACTTCATGCTTTAGAGCAGGAGTTCTTACTTTTCTTCTTGATTGGTTTGCCATAGGAGAAAATTACAATTTGATATTGAAAATTGCTCAGCTAATTCAAGTGATTGGTGGGCATAGCATATCTGGGAAGGACATCAGGAGGATTTTTGCTCTTCTACGTGATAAAAAGATTGGATCTAGACATAATAGCAGCTCATTGCTTTTGACGAGTATTCTATTCATGCTCAAGAAAAAAGGACCTGAGGCCTTCTTTGAATTCAACGGAAATCAATCTGTATGTTCTATATGTGACAGTACTTTTATAGTTGGATCTATTTTACTTCATTATCATCTTTAACATTTTCAATCAATTGGATTTTAATGGAGAAAAATAGTGTCTGAAAACTTATTAAATGGCTTCAGGATGCCAATCGGACATGATATAGTCCATTATAATCTTGTTCATGCATGATCAATTTCTTTTCGTTCGTACTTTCATCCTCTATGCTCATTTAAATGATGTAGTAATAATATTGTGCTTGATATGCTAGTCCTGTTTTTTTTTTCAAGTACACATAATTTTTATAGTTCTTTTTTTTTTAATGTTGTTATATCAAATGTAATCTTATGCTAGGTACATCATGTCTGCTACCATAATTTTTGTCCATATCCATCCATCATGAAGCCTTGCCTTATCTTTTAGCCCTTCATTCTTGAGCATGTATTGATAAGTGCACTTGGATTGATGACTTAGGTTTTTTAAACACATTTTGAGTCTCAGCCTTTTGAATTTCGTTCCTTTATCTCTTATTCCTATGTGCTATTTGTGGATTAAAGCCTTTTTGAGTTAGCCTACTTGTATAATAATTAATAATGTTATCCCTATTTTTGCTATTTCTTCTTTAATTCACTACATTTATGCTATCTGATAATCTTATCGAGCCCTTCGTTTTGCGTGATTAGACTATGTAAGGCCATTTCTACTACATGATTTTATTGGCGCTCCCTACAATCCTTCCAGTATTATATTTTCACTTTATAATTTCTCTTTTTACAACACATCCATGCATCTTATTGATTATCGTTTCTTCCATAATCGGTTATTAGTGATTTTCTTTTTTTTTCCTAACGATTTGATTTCTGTAAGATTTTTGTTCCCATTGTTTCTTTTTAATTTACCTTTATAATAATTTTTAAGATGAGATAGTATTAGGTTGTATCATGTTAAATTGGTAGAAATCTTATTGATGTAGAAATATAAAGTGGTGGGTCCGCCTCTCCAATAAGCTTAAGTTTTTGGGTTGAAGAATTCGCTACTCTTTTTATTTCAAACCTAACTTTGAGACCCCTTTGGTTAATAATTCTTAACAAATTGTAACAAGGCTAGTTTAGATGAGATTGGTAGTCATTTGGTTTTGCCCCCAATGGGACTCAGGTGCTTTGGTCCTTATTAAGGTTCAGAAGTAGTTGACTCCCTTGTTTCCGGAATGTGGTTGAGTGAGCTTTTGATGCATTTCACTTTATGATATTAAAAAAAGGAACTATAGTGATGAATGATGGCTGATGTGGGGAACTTTCACATTGATGGAGTTACCAATGAATATGAGGGTAATGAAATATGTGAAATTTTTTTTGTTGTGTAAATACTTTGTACTGGTATCTTCATTTTTTTCTATAATAGATCTCTTATATAATAGACTGGTGATTTTATCTATTTGAAGGCTTTGTTTAAAATAACTTCTATTTAGTGTTGAATCTTCTCCTTTATTGTTCTTTAACTGAGGCAGTAATAATATGCACATTACAGATAATATTTGACTTGCATTTTGTATGCAAATCTCATTCGTTTGAGTGAAACCTTCTTTAATACCCGTTTGCATTACAAATCAGAACAGCTGAGTTTGCTAAGGTAAGAATTCCAATTTTTTGGTATTCAATCTTGTTGGCATGCTTGATAGAGCACACATTTTTGGGATGAGAGTACAATAGGCAGCAAGGTTGATAAGGGAAATGAGCTGGTGTTACTTGCACTAGTGAGGTAGTAATAGAGGGTTGATGATAGCAGAAATGGTGGGAAACATTGGTTTGTTTGGGGCTATTTTTTCATTGTTTTTGTTTTTTGGATTGTTGTCATATTTTTGTTTGACATCTGCTTTCCTATTGCTTATCAAAAGCCTCATGGTGAAACATCCTTTTCCGATCATACTGCTGAAATGTGATAGCTATGAAGAAGTTGCTGCCAAACTCTTTTAAGTAAAAACGTTATAATACTCGAATATGTTTAAAAAAAATCTTTCTTTACAATAGTTATACAACTAAGTTTACAAATAGCTGGAATCTCCCCAAATGAATTCTAAGATGGAAGGGAGTATTGGAAAATATTAAACTAATTGTTGTGAAGCAATATCAAGGTAATTAGTGAATTAAGAAGGGTGAAAGAGTAGTACTGATGGAAAGGGAAGTGATAGTGGGTTGGGAGAGAGGAATGTGGAGGTTCGAGGAGTCGATATGCTCAATAGGCTTAGGGATGTTTTGATGATGTCATATGAATTAATAATTTTGTTGGTGTCATTATGAAATTCTAGTGCTATCCCCTCATTTCTTTTACATAATATGCAATGTGTTTCATGTTTCTTTGAGATACATTGGGCTATGATAAATAAAACTTGTGCCTGACAAATGAATTTCTTGTTTCTTAAATTTCTCAAGTTTCTACAATGAGGGTTATTTAGAGCCTTGTGATGTAGGACTTGTTGGGTGTTATTCTCTTGTAAATTTAATTTTAGATATGACAACTCGTGCAACAATCTCATAAACTTTGCTTGGCTTTCGCTTATCCTTAAACAATTTTGCACTACATTTGATGAAGATTGAAAATGATAGGAAATTAATACGGTCGGCAAATTTAATTGCCTTCTATTAGAATATAACAACTAGAAATTTTTGATAAGAAAGTGATGCAAATGTTTTGAAATTTACACACATTTTAATTAGATTGTGCTTGTTTAATTAAAGTCAACCTCTCTTCAAACCAAAACATACAAGTTGAAAAAAGAATGCATTAGAAGAAAAAGAGTTTATCAAAAAGCAAGTTTCTCCGAAAAGCAAGTTTCTCCCCTTGTAAGGAGCTAAGCTATTTTGGAGCATTGATCCTAGGATAAGATTTTAGAGCATGTTGAATTTATTGTAGGGTTGGCAATCCAGATGACATACTACAAATCAGAACAAACGCACCGTCTCAGGTAGTATCTCCTTATCATTGCCTGCTAGCATCACCAAGGCTAGTTGCTCAGGCACCTTTCTCATAGCCTATAGGAATGCAACACGATGCACGATAGCTTCTATCTTCGTTTGAGTACTTGTCATTGTTGACTTATTTAATGACATAAGTATGCTTCCCGCCCTTATTAAATGTGTAGGTGTTGTGGTCTGTATGAAGTGTAGTCTCGTCATATTTCCACAATTGGCTTAATACAATATGACATAGTCATAACATCACACCAAACTTGTTATTGTAGCTTATTTCTAGTTGAAACTTTCACTTGGCATCTCTGGTTGACACAATTCATTTCTCTTCTGCAATCAAATCAGTGAATATGACTGGAAATGCTTCTAAGTAGTGCTACTTAATTTGTCCATCATTTACGTAGAGATCAAATTTTCGTAACTGCCTCAATTTATAATGAAACTTCACACTTTCCTCTTCACAATCCAACTGGCATGGAATATGTTATGCCCGAGCCATTGTTAATTCCTCTTTAAACTTGATTTGGTTGAACCACAAGCGTCTCACCATTATTTTCTTATAGTTTGTACTCTCTGATCTCATCCTCTGTTATTTTCTTATAGTTTGTACTCTCTGATCTCATCCACTCTCTGATCTCATCCTCTGGGCTTCACTTTTTGCCTCTTCCATTGCACCATGTTCGATAAAAAAAGTTGCCTTCTTATTCAAGCAGTTGGATGCAACATGTCCATGTCCAAGACAGTTGAAACATTTCTTGGTTGAAAATATTTTGGGAGTGTTGGTGTGGCCAGTCTTCTTTTCCTTTTGTGTTGGCTTTATTTTGCGAGGGGTAGGCTTGATGTGGCGACTCGTTTTAATTTGAAGGAGACGAAAGGAAGAACCGAAGGAGAGACGGAAAACAGATAGAAGAGGAAATGAAAAAATGAGGAAGACGAAATGAAAAGTCAGGGAAAACGAACAAAGGGAATAAAAAGTGAGGGGGCGAAAGTTAGGGAGGTAAGTTCACCTTATGAATTGATACGAGAGGCAAATAACTTACCAGGAGAGCCAAAGTCACGTGCGGGAGACGACATCGAGCTTCGAGTGGCTAGTGTGCCAGCACAAAAGAAGCTGTGAGGAGGAAACATGAGAAATAAGAGGTTGGCCAACCCTAATTTCAGCATGATAAATCATCTTCACCATGGGGTGGAGCTCGAGTGTAGTTTGCGACCTGATTTGTAGGCCGAAGGACGTCACGCCCTTATCGAGAGGAAGAATGGAGAAGAATAGCGGAAAGCTTGTGCGAAAGAGTCGAACAGATTCTCACAAAAGGGCTCTTCGCGTGGTGGTCGGCTTGACCGAGCCTTGCTGCTCAGTTCGAGTGATCTAGGGCACGACAGAAGGGAGTAAGGTAATATACTTAATAATTTGAGTTTTTATAATTAGTTACAAAAAAATTACATTGATTTAATTTCAATCTTATTGTGTAAAGATAATCAGCAATATAATAATAATAATAATAATAACAAATAATTTATATATATA